GGGGAAACCCCACCCCCAAACAGATGCAATGACACCACCCAGAAGTGACATCATCATGTCACCAACACTGGGGGGTGAAGCTCTAGTTTTTGGGCAAACTCTATGGTTTTGAAGGCAAAAAACCATAGAGGTTTTCCCCAAAACTAGAGTGTCACCCCCCGATGGTGGCAATGCAATGACATCACTTCTGGGTGACATTATTGCACCACACACACAGCAGAAGATCCCGGAAAGGACCCGGGAGCCCCCCACTGGCTGCCAGGTAGGACCTGGCAACCCTAGCAGTCACACTTCCAAAATACTTCCAAAATACAGCAGTCACACTTCCAAAATACTTGCCCAGGCTTGTTGCTGACTTGCATCCATTTTGTTTCATTTTAGGCCAGGCAGTGCCCTGCATATATGATTTAAAGAAGGGCATTTATGCCTCTCTCTAACCGCTAAAGGAGGAGGGGTCTGACTGCTAACAGGGGTAGAGAGACTACTCATTAAATGTGCCAATGACACCAAATTGGGAGAAGTAGCAAATACCCTGGAAAACAGAGACAGAATTCAATGAGAACAGCACTGAAAAAGCAGACAGATGAGAAGAAGAGAATAGCTCTGGTGGGGCGTATCAGGGCCATGCTCCTCAGTTGTGAGCCACACACCCCACCCATGCCCCTGCACCATGCCCCACCACCCATGCCTCACCACCCTGTCCAAAAGGCCTTGCTTCAGGGCAGGGCAGCAAGCGAGCTGAGCAGGCGGGTGAGGAGCAGGCAGATCAAGCACGCAGGAAGTCCTCTCTGTGCGCCTGTGCCAAGGAGTCATGTGACCCAGCCACCATAGATCACATGACGCCAGGCACACTGCAGAGAGGAAGAAGCCACTCAGGCACAAAGCTATTTTATGTAGCACCATACCATAGTTTGCATTATATCTGAAATATATCCCACACTGCATTATATCCCACACTGTCTCTCTCCTGAAGAATTTATCATCTAGGCTAATATATTATAAAAAATATAAATCAAGAAGAAAGATTAAGAAAGCGGAACAGAAGATTAGGAACTATAATAAGAATATGTGAAATAATAGTAATTATTAATGGATACTGGTTGATATAATTTGATGGTTTCAAGTAATTCATAGTTCACCTTAGTTTACTCTTGCTTATTTGTATGTTCTCATCTTTGGGGTGAGTGATGCTTGAGTAGTTATGCGGTCAAGTTTAAGTACATGTATTTCCTCTTTAACTGGAGGGTAATGAGGTGAAACCATATGCAAAACCCGAAACCACTTGTGGAACGCAGATCACAAGAAGAATATAAAGAAGAATTCTGTATTCCATTAGAATCAAGGGACTGTTAACATTCAACAAATGTTTCTTCTATTATTATTCCAGGGAGGTTTAGAACATTTTCTAAGATGTTAGTTTATATGTTCCTGTTTTTCTCCAGAAGAACTAGAAGCAGTGCAGAGAGACAAAGGTTCGCCCTTGTTGTTCCTCTCCATCATTGGTATTCAAAAGTATACTGCTTCTGAACATGGAGGTTCCACTTAGTCACCATGGCTAGCAACCATGGATCTCTATGAATGAATTAAGAGACTCAGGTGGAAGATACCTAATTTTAAAAATGAGACTCCTGGAGAGCAAAATATGCACAATAGCAACAATATGTGCAAGAAATGAAGCTAAAGTTAAATGTTTTGAGAATTTTTTCGAAACTATGTTAGATTTCCAAGATGAGGAAATAATGATTCTTGGAGATATGAATGGAATATTAGACCCAAAAAAAGACAGATCAAGAAATATTAAAGGTGGGAAATTACCTAAAAATGTACTTTAATACATGGAAATGCTGGAATTAGAAGGCTGCTGGAGGGCCAAACATCCAAAGGGCAGAAACTTTACCTTCTTTTCAGACAGTAATCAAATATATTCAAGTATAGACATGTCCTGGATATCAAAAAGTTTGACAGTGAATTTAGAAAAGGTAGAGATTCAACCAAAGATATTTGCAGACCATAATTCCGTAGAAATAGTCTTGCAACAGAACAGAATCAAGAAGATGGAGATTAAATGATATTATTTTACTACAAGATGACTGTAATTGAAAACAGCCCCTGTATAAATAGATGGTGTGGCCTCATTTGGAATACTGTGTACAGTTCTGGTCACCACACCTCAAAAAAGATATTATAGCAATGGAAAAAGTGCAGAAAAGGGCAACTAAAATGATTAAAGGGATTGAACACTTTCCCTATGAAGAAAGGTTAAAGAGGTTAGGGCTCTTTAGCTTGGAGAAACAATGGCAGAGGGGTGACATGATAGAGGTTTACAAAATTATGCATGGGATAGAGAAAGTA